TTTAACTTGAAAAATACTTTTGATCGTAAGAGAATAGATAAATACACTTATCCTAGTAAGGGAACACCTACATGAGTAAGTGCACTTACTTGGATAGATAACATTTGGACTCCTAATCCTTGGCACTTTAGTATATGTTTGGCATCAATGCTGTAGATGCAACACTTGGTTGAAAACATTGCTACCAAGTAGGACGTTTCCTGGAGCAACAACAATGTTTCCTATTGGTACCAATGCTCTAGGAAACGTTTTTAGCAATACTGGTATCCATTATCCAGTGCCACGTCACTATCACCTCACATCCATGTTGGTAGCAATGCGTTGCAACTCCACGAAACGTCAAATTTGACTCCAAGCTATGCCTTCTTGATTTCCAAGGTGTAACTTGGAGCACCGTTTTATATAGAAAAACGGTTTCAAATAAATGTCCGTTTCCTAAAGCGCACCCATTTTTTCCGATATAACACTGATGTGGCATTGTTTTCTGGAGTAACGACAACGATGCAAAACACGCTGAATTGAACTGGCATAACATATTGTATTAAAAATAATTAAAAACAATAAAAAAGAATTCAGATTTACTCTTCACACCAGCCTCATAACATATTGCAGTATTCATTAAAAATATATCTCTATATTCTGCTACAACTACAATGAGTGAGATTGATGTAAGGAGCGCTCAGTGAAAACTGAAACAAGAAGTAAGAAAGAAAACATAAATGCGAGACTGAAATTATTTGAAAGTGGGTGGGATCGTGGTTTATTGAAGAGCTCATCGCCTGAGCTGGTATGTCTCCATAACATTACATGTTCCATCCCACCACGTTTAACGCCAAGTGGCTAATGGGCTAATGGGTGAAGCCAGCACATCCTGCAGTGCATTGGATTGGGAACATGTCATCATCGATTGGGATACTATCATCGGGAGATATTTTCAATATATGGCGAAAATATGCTGTGGGAGGTTGTAGGGCTGGGGCGCCCCTTGTTAGGCGCAGATGTGAATTCGCCAATGGGCTGGTTAAATGCTCCTCCTATCTATCTGCATTTGTGACTTTTTTTTTTTTTTTTTTTTTTTTTAGTTTTTGAAAATCTGGATACATGCAATGTACTGCGAAACTGCACATGG